GTCTTTCTGCATTGTTCTGTCATAAAGAGGGATACCATAGGATGGAAAGTGGGTCTAGGACTCCATAAGCTCACTGTTCAAGACAGCCCAGCAAACTGGTCAGTAACAAACTTTACTGCGGCATCTCCCTGAAACAAACAAAAAGTGAATGAGGTCTCCATCTTGTTTTAAGTCCTTGAGATCTTGAGCTTATAACCACATGGTGGAACTTTCTCTTTATTTCTACCATCTAGGAAATAGGAATTTGGGGGTTTACGTCATAGTTGGCTCTAAAAATTACATTGAGCAGTTAAAAGACTTGGCAAGCTCAAAATTGGCTGCTCTAGACTCCTTCCAGAAGAGCAATGGAAAGTACCCACGGCTTTAGCTTGGCAGCTTCTCTAGACTCCTTCTAGAAGAGCAATGAAAAGTACTCAAGGCTGTAGCTTAGCAGCTAAGGCTTTGCCATTTTACAGTGGCAGCCCAAGTTCAATCCTGGCTTAGGGAAAGAGTTCTTTCTGGTTTGACATCTGTGTGACATTTACCATTTGTTGATTCTCTTCATCTCCATGAAAAACTTCTGGTATCCCTTCTTAAATTTTACTTTTTCTGAGCGCCTTTGGAGAGCCTAGGTCTTGTAGAAACTGCTAACTACTTCTTTGAAAATACCTCATACATTCATGGTTAAGTCATAACCTTTGTTGAGGCTTGTTGGTTTCACCTGTGAGGTTACTTTTGGTAAAGTTTAGGAGCCAGAAATATTAGCCATTTGGCCTGGCTAAAGTAAGGTAACAAGAAATGTGTAAAAGGACTTTTATTTTTAAGAGTGCTATGGTTATCAGCCATTAAAAACGATGAGTTTGTGTCCTTTGTAGGGACATGGATGAACCTGGAAGCCATCATTCTCAGCAAACTGACAGAAGAGCAGAAGATCAAACACCACATGTTCTCACTCATAGGCGGGTGTTGAACAATGAGAACACATGGACACAGGGAGGGGAGCACTACACACTGGGGTCAATTGGGGGGAAATAGGGGAGGGACGGTGGGGGGTGGGGAGCTGGGGAGAGACAGCAAAGGGAGAGATGCCAGATGTAGGTGATGGGGAGGAAGGCAGCAAATCACACTGCCACATGTGTACCTATGCAACAATCTTGCCTGTTCTTCACATGTACCCCAAAACCTAAAATGCAATAAAATAAATAAATGGGGGGAAAAAAAGAGTGCTATGGTTAAAAGCCAGCTTAATTAAAGGTGGATATCCAAGCTATACACATACTTAAAAGGGCTTTATGATTGTTTTCTCTTTTTGAACCTTGTTTTTCTGGAAAAAGGGTTTTTTTCTTCTCAGTTGACTGAAATTCCCACATTTTTCCTTCTTGCTTTTCTTGATGCCCACATGAGAGAACTTAAGATAATTTCTCACAGCTTCATTCTGGGACAAAAACCTGTGTTTTCCTCATGGAACACTGGGAATTGAAAGCAGATAGGTGTCTCTCAAAATCTAAGACTCTGTTTGGTTTTACATTATGTTATCTGACATTTTTTTTTACTTTTGGGGGTGTCAGGCATTACTTTGCATTATGAGAGAACTTTGATGTGTAGGAAATTTACTTTTAGTGATGTCTAATGGCAGTTATGGGGGAGATACTCAACTCTTTGCATGTTTGGATTAGAGGATCATGCTCTTGATCACCTAGAAGATATAGAAATATCCACATACCCCACTGAGAGATAAGCCTCCCATTGGAGATGGGCTGATTCCCTCTTTTTTGGGGGGATCCAGGAACTGGTATAAAAATGAGACCCTTAATTATGGGAACCTGTTTTTTGCCTTCTAGCTGTGCCTCCTTATTAGCCCTAGAAATTACATGTTTTCCTAGCCATGTTCCTCCAAGGACTCCACCCTGAAGCCAGCAATCCAACTAAGAAACTTAAAGACTGGCAAATAAAAAATATTACAACTACAAGATCCTCTTCTATCTTTCTGTGTATTTGTATGTGTTGTATGTGTAATGTTTACACAAAAGTGTTCAAATTAATTGGCTTAAAGAAAAATAAGCACTTAAATATTTTGTCAGAAAAATTAAAACTAATACTTTTTAGTTCATGTGACTTTAGTAATCTTTAGGAAATAAAGACAGTTTTAGACTATTGGTAAAATAAAAATGTCTTCAAACTTTAGACATTTGATCTAAAGTTGATAAGGTATTGGGCGTGCTAAATGCTTTAAGGTCATAAACTGCTTCTCTGACTTTTGGAAATTGTTTAAAGTACCTACCTTGGAGCCATTAGATTATAGATAAGGCCTGGGAACATGTGGAATTAGCTATGACCCCTGGCTATGCAAAGAAGGTTATAAACAAAAGATATTTTATGTAAGAAAGAATTTTGTATGGTAAATTATTGTCCTAAAGAAAAATGACTGGTTGTTTAAAAAGAGGAATGTTTAGGACAAGTCAGAAAGTCCAACCATGTTATAGATGGTCTATGTAAGTCATGAACGTATTCATGAAAGGGAATTTATTCAAGAAATATTGTACAATTTAAAGCTTATTAGGCCTCCTAAATGTTTCATAAAATGCCACTATGACTCTTAACTGTACAACTTTCCTGCTTTACGTCTAAGTAAGGCCTGGGTATGTGTGGTGTTAGCCATGCCCCCTAGCTATGCTGGAAAGTCAAACTTTATCTGCACTTCTGACTGGTGTCCCAGGCTCCACACCTGCTACATAATTAAAATTACTTACTAACAAGGTTTTTCACCAAAAGTAAAAGTTTCTAAGAGTTAACAGTGTAACATACATTTGAGATTACTGAACAAACAATTCTACACACAAAGGATATAAGGAAAGTAAATGTACTTTTGACAAAAGATTGTAAAAAGGCATGGGAAATCCATATTTCCTGCCTAAGTTTAGAGAGTAAAGGATTGTGTTAAGTGATATAGGAAAAACCTAAAGGTTTGAACAAGTTGTGGAAAGTTTTCAAAAAATTAACTGTAAAAGAGATTCTGTGTGTGAACATATTGGCTAAAGTTAAAGGGGTATTATTCAGTTTTCTTTTTTCTATTTTTTTTTTTGTAAATTGAACATTGAAATTAAAGCACAACTGGATTTTCTTAGAGGACTGATCTGCTTTCTAGCCAATTTGTAAAAGATCATAAAGTGTTTATTGGAATCTTACTTTATGGTGAAACTAATTAAGATTAAATAGATTTGTCTATAAAGTTTTATTAAAAATTGAGGTTGACATTAATAGTACACTAATGAAAGGGTGAAATTTGGTTTTCTCTCTTTAACAAAATTTTCATGTAATATTAAAGGATAATGAAAGATTTTTGTTTGCCTTTTGAGTAAACTACAGGAAAAAGAAAATATAAGAAAGATCATTTTGAAAGCTAAGTCTTCCTTCTATCAATGAGTAAACGTTTTTGCCTTTTTAAAATTTTTCAGTTACAATTTGGTAACTCAAAAATGAATGACTTATGGTGATCTGGAATTTTATTTCACAATATCAAGCATTGGAAACCTTTAACGTATTTTATAGATATTCCAAAATCAAATTTCTGCTTCAAAATTAAGTTTTTTTAACCTGTAACTTTGGAATATTACAAAGGGCCCCTGAAGCACCCAAAAGAAAGGTGAACAGAATTATTTAACATATTAAGTTACATGGGAAGCATCGTCAAAATAAAAAATAATGTTTAACTTCCTTTGGGTTATATTTTAGTGAATGATATTAATATATGTTCCAAAATTGGATGGTATTTCTATAATTCCAATATGTCTGAATATATGCTATGAATCATAATTATGGTTATTATGTACAAGTTATTGAAGACCACAGAAATAACCTAATTTCTTTGTCAATTGTGTCTTTAACTATGACTATGCAAATTCATTTCCATAGTTAATTGCTTAATGCTGATGCAGTTTCTGAAAATGTCACAAGTGTGCAACATCCTAGAATATGGTGTCTTTCAGAAGGTTAATGAAAGGATGGAAAGAATCCTGAAAAACACTATTGAGTACAGGTTTCTAGCTGCTAACCCCAGTAGAACAAAAATTAACTGAATACCAAGAAAATACTTTGCCAGATTTTCATGCTAAATCAGCCAATACTGAAATTGTTTAAATATGCAATTTAAAAAATTCCATGATCTATGTCAAATTACCTATGATAACCCATCAGTTATCAGTGCTATGCACCTAAATTGGAGAAACAACTTGTATTCAAGAGGAAATAAATTCAATGATAAGCATGGATGTATGGAGAACCAGGATACTCACCTTGTTCTTCCTGAGTCCTTAAAACTTTTGTTATTAAAAGTTCTGCATTCCATGACTCATCCTGAAAAAGATAAAATGATCCAAATTAAATACATATTGGTGTGGTGACTTCTAAATTGCTAAAATAGTTTATGATCAATATTTGGTTTATCAATCCCATATTCCTGGGCAAATAATCAAAGATTTAGGTACATATGGCCACCTGATGGACCATTTAAACATGTGTAGAGAGATTTCATTCAATTGTCATTTTCAATGCATGTTTTCTGATTGTATATAAAATGTTGCATTAAATATTGCATTTAGTATTGTATTTAAACATTAAATACTGTATATAAACATGCATTGCATTAAATATTGTATCGAGGTATATTTTCCCATGCAAGAGGTCTGATGTTATAACAGTAGATTATTACCTCTCACCAGGTTTAAAAAAAAAAGGCTTTTATGGTTCACTGTCTGAGGACAATCAACTCCTTCACAATCTAGAATGTGAAGATTGGATCTTCCAAAAACATAAGAAAAATATTGCCTTTCCAGAAGATGGCCAAAAGGAAGCTTCTCCAGAGCTAACACCGAGTGAGACAGAACCAGAGCGATATCCATGTCTCCAAGTGAAGCACTGATTTGTTTTAAAGGGACTGGTTAAACAGTGGGATTAACCCCCAAAATAGATAGTGAAACTAGCCCAGAGGCATCCAGCTGAGGCAAGGTGGGGCATTGCCTCACCTTGTCCCATCTGGAAAGTGCATCAGGCACTGAGGATTCTGGGGGCACCACCTCCTTGGTTCTCTGAATCAGATATAGCAATTCACTCTGAGACTTCAGCAGCACACAAACCAGGAAAATGCTGCCTTGCTGAGAGCCAGCCAGAGTTACAGACCCAGGCAAGAGCCCAGGTTGGCAGCTCCGGCCAGACCATTGCCTTGTTAGTGCAGACTAGGACAGAGATTTGGACTAATACCGAGAAAACTGGTGGAAAGGAACTGCCTGTCCCAAAGAAGGGAGAGTTGAAAGCGGGGAGGGGGGATATGACAAGACAGGCCCCCTTTCCCACAAGATCCGGCAACCAGATCCCTCTCCCAGGAGAGTTTTGCAGTTAACACATCCTCCACCTGGGAAGAGCAGGCTTGGCAAAGGGAAAGAGCCCACCATTGGGAAGGCAGGGCTAACCCCACCAGTATGGAAACCAGGTGAAGAATAAACAGCAGCCTGGCTGAGACCAAGGCAGCCCAGCAGTTCCTCCACAGGCAGACAACAGACAGACTGTCTCAAGTGGCACACTGACTCCTGTGTTTAAAAAAAAAGCCTCGGGATTGATCCAAGATGGCCATTTAGGAAAAGCTAAGGATTGCAGCTCCCAGTGAAAGCACAGAGGGTGAGTGGATGCCACATTTTTATTGCCCACAGACTAGGAAATTCCCGGGCAGAGGTGCTCCATGGTCGCCTGCGCAGCTGTTTTAGCCAGCGCGGCTGTGTCCACCGGCGGGGCTGCTTTGCCCCACATGGCTGCTTTGTCAGCGCCCATGCGCAGTGGTTCTTCTTACAAAATACACTGGTCTGGGTGCCCTTTTGGCTGGTGATTGGAGCCACGGGAAGTTGCCCATTCATCTGTTTAAAAAGGGGACTGAACAGGGAACCAGGACAGTAGATTCCAGGGCAAAAATAGCACCCCGAATCTCAGCGTCTCTGTTTAAGCCAGTGCAGTGAGTTGCCACACGGGAAAACACACAGATCCCAGTGCCTCTTCAACAGG